GTAGGATTGTACGTAGGAATCAGTAGGAATTCTAGGTGATAATTTTCATAAGCGAAGTGTAATTTCGTGCGTTTGAAAAAATTCGATTTGAAAATTATAAGAGAGCATGGAGGTAGGTGTTTGCGATAAGAATGTTTCCATATCGTCAGGGAATAAATGTCCATGAGATGGACAAGTTTGAGACTTCAACTCAAATAAGGTCCGAACTTTCATCACCACACACCTACTACTACTGCTACTACTACTACTACTACTACTACTACTACTACTACTACTACTACTACTACTACTAAATGTACTCTAACACTCCATTTTTTACTGGAAATATTGTCATATTCAGAATCCTCATTAAAATCTGGTGTAGACAGAATAGACAGAATCATCAAAAATGAAAATAGTAGTATTTTTGATAAAGTTGTAAATGCTTAAAGGTTAGATAGTTTTACTAGTATTATGCAGAAAAAATGAAATTGAAAAAATCCCTGGGGGGAAATTATTCACATTGGTGCCTAACATGGAATATGAGTTTTGACATGATGCACACCCTCTAAATTATGACCCCTGACTAGAGCTACAGTACAAAGTGCAATTCCCATGCTAGCAATTCAAGGCAATTCCTGTACAAATACTAGGAGAAATTTTTAGATCATTTTTACAGGTAAAACCTGTTATATTAACTGTCAATGCAATAAAAACCGTTAAAAATTGTCATTAGGTTATCCAGGACTAGAAATAATGAATATTGCAATCCAGTCCATCTGAAAATAATATTGCACCCAAAAGAACCTTGAGCTGTGTAATCACAACAACAACAGCATCAAAAAACTGCCCAACATGTGTTTTTATCATTGCCTTCTTGTTTGGCTTCATGTGCTGGAAATGAGTAGTGTGCACATTGAGCTGTTTCGATATGCTATTCACAGCTTCCTGCTTGACCCAAACATTTGATTTCATCTTTCTTTCTTCACTAGTCATTCCCATTGACAAATGCTTCAGTCTAGCATCCCCCCCCATAGCTCCAGTCTGCTTCCACAGCCTCCTCTGGAGAGAGTACTGATGTACCAAGCCTTTGGTCAAATATAGTATTATCATTCATGCTTGCCTTCAAGGGGCCACTTACCCAAACAATGAAGCCTGTCTTCAAGCAAGCAGCYGCTGSATACTTCAAGTCCATTMATTGATCTTCTGTGAATACACATCTGGAGAGAAAGGCCATGATGAAAGTGTCTGGATCTAGACCATGAAATCTATTGTCAAGACTGATCAGGTCCTCAAACAGCTCAACAACCGTCTTCACAAAATACCAGGACCACTTTGGAATGGTCTTTCCTGAAGGCCATTCCACAAGAGCACAGTGCATCTCTACTGTTGAATAGGCCTTAAGACCTTAAGACCTTAAGATGAACAATCACCCAATGCAGATGCTTTGCTTCTCTTCCAGATTCAATAGCACCATAAGCTAGTAGTACTATTAAAGCAATCTCTGAACCTCATATCCTTATCCTTGGAATCCAAAAGCCTCTTTTTGGGCTTTCAGAGAACATCTTGTGCAGCTACTTTGTCAATGCCTTCTTTGGTTACCACCATGTTGCTGAGTTGTTGTTGTTGACTGTTGTAAAYAGGATCCAAGTGAACTAAATTGGGATTCTACTTGGTTCTTTTCCACAGTTCAAGGAGGCCCTTTCAATTCACAATTGAAGAGAGCTATTAATTGACACTACTTACAGGGGATGAGAAGAATGAATGGAAATGAATGAAAAGCAGATTCCAATGGTCAGTTGCCTCCTGTTTGAAAGAATGAAAAGAACAGTTTGCAGAGGATCAGCACCAACATGGGAGTTTTAGATTGACCACACTAGGGCCCAGTAGGWTTTTTAWTAMGCAGTCAAAGCCAATCAGTTTTGAGCAAAATCTGCAGTCCCTTGATTTGCTATTTTCTGCAGCKTTTCTAGGCAGATTTTAYACCACAGASCTTCCAAAAGACAAATTGGTCTCCAGTTTTTGCTCAAGGCATTGCTCAAKGAACAGCTACTGACTACCTGCACCAGGGCAGTACATTGCTCATGTAGGCAGTATTGRAACAGCTGCYGTTCTGATCCCACAGCATTGCTCATATTTGGATCAACATTGCCTGGACTTGATATATGGAGGATGTGTTTTAAATATATWWACCCTGCAGGCACACAACCCCAAATTCTTAAGTAAGCACTCWATGTGTGCCAACCAGTATTGAGCAAGATTGYTACTGTTACYGAGCTTTTCATTGCTCTTTTTTGAGCGTTAGTCAAGCAATACCCCATCTTAATTTTAGCAGGTAAATTAGCACAAGCTAAATCACTTTTCTTTGACTTYRACAACTAAGACCCAAGGCCCACTACCAGAAGCAAGAAACAGGAAGGTCAAAAGCAAGCAATGGACAATGGCATCATGAAGGGACCAAACACGCACCACCAYCAGTGTGTTGTGCGGGGARCTGTTGCTGCTGATTAATATGTAGATAAAACAATAGTGACAGTCAATCATAGTTCTTCTCTACCATGCMTCAACACCAACCAAAGAGTTGAGCAAAAAGAGCACACCAAGAGARGGATGCTATCCTATTTTACAACCATTTGCCTCTATCAAAGCAGATTGAAGCAGATTTCTTGATACAACTTCTGGAGATACATGAATACAGCAGGAACTGACAGTTGTCGTCCAGTTGACAAACCTGGCTCTGTTTTAATTGGAGGTTTTCAAACTACATCAGAAAGAACATAAAGTTACCTGGCAAAAGATTGTGGAGGTAAGAATAATTTATGGTGGTGCTTGATTGCCTTACTACCGATGCTTGTTTGTTGCACTTCTCATTCATTCAAGCTCATTGCATTCTTTCTAGAGAATGTCCTTGTTGACTCAAGATCTACAACACAGAGGAGTAWGATTGCATAATCCATTTTAGGAGCACAGGAAGAGAAGAGTTGAATTGCAAGCAGCAGAAGAMGTAGTTAAAGCAGTTGCCAAAGATGATCAAGAAGAAGCCTCTTAAATTCCTTAACACATCCTCTGGAAAAGAAGACAAACAATTTACAACCCCCATGGCCTCAAGAAGAGCTCCCTTGGCTAGTAGAAAAGCCCCTCCTTCTCCAAACCTAGGAAGAAGATGCCCTCCACAGCCAGCACRCTGACAATGGGCTCTGTTCTAGCATGAGTGCACTAAAGATTGACTCTGCAGCCTGGAACCTTGTCAGTGCAGTTGTAGTCTGTCCCCTTGCTAGACCAATGCCTACCGACAACTCATTRGGAGCAATGAGATGATGAGATTTATGATGTCATACACTTCTGCTGCAAGATTGTCATATGTCTTGATCCCGTCACTACTCTAAGTGATCTTGATCTTGACCTTGATTGGGTTGATAAGAGGTACTTCAAGATTAGAATGAAGTGCCCCCTGTATCTGATAAACTASTTCAGTTTGGCAGAGATGGAATGTGATACAAACAATGTCCCCATCTTTCCAAGATGCTATCTCTCTGAGGTTCAGAGGAGGAAGAGTACAAACAAACTTTTTCCTCCCTATCCACCACCTGACTACTAAAACTCTCAAGGGAGCTAATACTTTAAAGCTACTACTTTAAACTAGCTTAAATGTAAGTAGAAAAAAAGAAGTACCTGTAGCTTTAAAGTAACTTGTTTCAAGTACCTTAAAGTCAATCCCCAGATGAAGGCGATAGATTGACTACTAGAAAAGAGCTTTATGGACACATGYCATGATCTACCAGCTGTGAAAGCTGTCACTTGGAAACTAGTATACTTCTTCTTCTTGATTTAGCCAAAGTAGTCCTGGGTCCAGKAGCTTGTCACAGTATCTGGTAATATATCGTTTTGTAATATCCCTGCCACTTGAGTGTACATGCAGTAAYTAGTTTTGTACCATACTACAATAGTACTACATGGTACCAGGCCCCACTGTTTCTTAGTGAGCCGTATGGGCTCTCTTTTTTTTTGGGGGGGGGAGTTTGGAAATACTAGGCCCAACAGATTTGTGGTTTACTCTTGGCTTACTTCTTGCRGGGTATGGCAAGGATACTAAAAACAGAATTCACATCTTTGCAACAATACTCTGTTTGTTTCTCCTTGTTCTTTAAKTTGAAGACAGAAAAAACTAGACACATCAAACCTACTACTACTAGTGCAGTATGGGATGGAGGAAGTATGGAATAATAGTGGAAGCAGCAGCACATTATGAAAAATGTGCATATGCTGTCAAAAAATATTGTAATTGAGAAAATATTCCTGTCTTTTTATCCCAGTTGCTTTGACAGTGCATCACAAGAGCTGAAGAAAAAATGAAAAAAAAAACACAAGTCCTTCCTCTTTTCTGAACAAAAAAATCAAATTATAGCCTTATAAACATTTTACTTTACTAGCTATGGTCCATGCTATGGATTACTAGCTACAGCCCATGCTATGGATGACTCTACTTTCCACAGTGGAAACAGATAGTTGTTGTGTTTACCCATGATGACAAATTTTGCAGGGCAAGACTCTGTAATTGTTGCAACAGCAGCATATATTGCAATGTACTGATGTCACATGAAAAAGATCGTTACACTCTTCTCRAGTGAAACAAGAGTTGAAATTCATAGCAGTGATAATGTATACAGATAGTAATTGTTTTATTATACACTTTAACTTAACAAGGTCCATGGCAGAAATGTATTCAGTTGGTTGTGTCGGTTCATGTTGCGCATGTCCATAACACTCGTGACTGCCGATCRCAATATGCCCATCATGATGCAACTACAATTTTTTTTTTACTTGAACAACCGTCGATARTTTTCCCTATTCATTTTCCAAAACCACAGAAAGCAAAGAAATAAGAAGTTGTAGTCGTCTTACCTTGGTTTTCAACAAAATATTTTCTTCTCTAGCATCCGCCAATGAAAAAAGTTGTTGCTGCTTGACCCTCCAAAGACCCCCCCGCACCAGAAACAACAATGATATATTCGTCCTCTTCCAATCCATCAGTTGGAAACTGAAGGCCTCCACTAGGCAGCCATGTATGACATTCATGATGTCCACAGGAAAGTGTCCACTCTACGAGTAACTCACTSCCAGAGTCTGGACCTGCCGGTAGATCCGTGAAGTCAGAGACAACGCCCAGGGGAAGCATCCCTATCCAAGTATTTTCTGCAGARATATTGTCRAAGGTTGCAACAATACTTTCTCCTACATTGTAACATGTCTTGTCAACGAATATCCTGGCTCCGTTTACTCCGAATTCTCTGATGGGAGGCGATGGGGCTTGCGTCGGAGGAGGCAAGACTTCTGTAGCCAGCGTATTTTGCGGCTCGAAACCAAATGTACAGATTCGTCCCGGCGGACAAAATCCAGCCTTTGCGTGACCGTGGTCAATGAGCAAGTTGAAAACHTCTCTAAAGTCRACGAGCCACGAACGATTGTCTTGAGTGTATCTCCGAGCATGGGGCATGAAAGGGGTGTCATGCGAGCATTGATTTGGCCCATTAAAATCGCAATTTGTCTGCCCATCTCTCATATCCTCCAAGTTCCGAACAAGAGAAATGTCTGTATGTAGCATGGTTACTCGAGTGTCTTGACTTACAAAGCCTCGATATTGTCGGCGACTCGGAATACCTGGCAAATCATCGTTATTGACATCTTCCAAGACAAAATCTGGAGGCTGTCCGACAAGTTCGATCCAATAACCTCCATCAAAAGACGTCGAGCTTAAATCCCATCTTCCGGTAAATCCACTATTCTCTCGACTCATTTTCCCTACRGAATGGGCTCCCATRAGGGCTGTSACTTGTTGCGGATTGAAGYTGAATTCGTTTTCAAAAAATGCTTGAATAGATCTAGTTCCTGCCGTTGCGTGAGCTTGTCCAACATGAGGGCCTCGCATGGAGGTACAAAGAGTTGGATTTCCACTGAAATCAACTCCACAATCAACCATCGCCTCACAAGTCTTTCGTCCAATCCATTGTAAATCGAAAAGTATGTCGCGATKCTCCGCGGGCACAGCGGTCTCTGTTGCAACCAAACCAGCAAGCACCCAAATGTCCGTTCGCGTCAAGCCTCGGTCAAAAAATGAATCAACTAAGGGCTGAAGGGCATTGATTGGTTTGTCTAAACCTGCATTGTCAGGATTGGCCATRTCAACACAACCTTCGAAGTAAAACAAACGAAAWACGAAAAATAATTAGTRCAATACCAAATCTATTTTGTAAATACAACGCTCAATGCTATGTATGGTTCACTCTTGCTCAATATATACGTACCATCACAACCTCCGATACAATCGTGGAACACTAGGCGAAGAAACTAGTTCATTTGGATGGAGTAAAATCAGATATTTTTCCMATARATTTAGGTGACACAAACGTTCCAATTTTACAAGAATYCTCATCCTCTGTTTTTGCGCATCGTACTACTCACCTTCCCAGTTAAGTCCTCATCGTTTCGGATCAAATTTTCGATTTGTATACGAGCATCCCGAAGAATAGGATTGATTGTATCGGAAACAAGTAAGACAGAATCTGCCCCAGATTGTGCGAAARCAGGTACCGGAGCAGGTWCTGGGACAACTGGAGGAGTTGGTATCTGGATYCCACTAGCGATTGCAACTGGGCCAAAGGTGAGTGGCCTGTCTGTAATTGGTCTGGTTGTCGAAGACGCCGTTGGAATCGAAAAGAAAGCGCTGCARCCACCTATACGAAATACCCTAGTGGTAGCTTGAGGCGCGAGACCGGAGCGATTTCCAGACACTGCTATAAAGTAATCATCTTCTTCTAGCCCATCTGTCAAGAGCTCAACACTGCCGCGAGAAGGCCASTTGTCGCAGTTATCGTGTTCTCCGCAGGTYAGAACCCAGGTTTGCAGCTCTTGTGACTCAAGGGTCGGAAGGCTCTTTTTGTTCGGAACATCTTTRTTTGCATATAGACCAACAAAGATGCCTTCGCCATCAACATTGATGAATCGGACATTGATTSTCTCTCCAACGTCAAAACARTTCTTCGATACCCTAACCGATGCAGCGTCTACCAACCTAACCAATATGATRTTAATCGTCAGGAGTGACAACAGACACAGTTTGTTCAATTTCATTTTGATTTGCATGTCGACCTTTGTTGTTAGAATAAGACCTTCGATACTTGCATGTAGTTTAAGAYCAGAATATTCTTTTGCAACGCAGCGAAATGCAAATTGAAAGATAGATGATTTTGTGATCAGAAAACGTACTATTRATCGAATAGGGGAGGAATTTTAACGAATAATCAACGCATCATTCCCGAATATGTGACTGGTTCTTTCGCGCACTACGTCTAAGAAACCCTTTGGCGAAATATGCTAACCGAAACTAAAAATGAATTAGGGCGCACTGTTGTCACGTTGCTCAAGTCACACTCGCGCAATCGTAACAAAACCAGACAGTACAATAGTAGCTACGAAGTACAATTCCAGTGCTGGCAAGTTACTACGCGTTTCATAACAATTGAAACCGGTCTCGAAAAAGAGCAAAAAGTAATAATTTCAAGTTCTAAACTTCAATTTGAAGTTATGAACTTTTGCTCGTACATCATGTAATAGGTTCTACTGAGGTAGTTTTTTTTAAATGACTGCTGAATGGCCAAATGGATTCCCGGGGCCCCTCAAAACAAAAAAAATGGTTCCGAGGTGATTCAATCATGAATCCGGCCTTTCAATCATGAATGCCATCCAAAAACTAGCTCAGCAGAACCTTGTAGACTTTCTACAAGGACATTTTGAAGTTCATAACTTCAAGTTGTGAAGTTCAAATCAAAGTTTAGAACTTGAAATTATTACTTTTTGCTCTTTTTTGAGACCGGTTTCAATTGTTACGAAATGCATACTAAAGGCAATTTCCTGAGTGTCAATTTTTTTATTTTCCCATCTTTATTTCCCCTCTCCCCCCCCCCTCCGCACAAAAACCACAGAGTCCCTAAATATTTCTATTAGTGATCCTTACTACTGCAGGTACAAAATCAGAGCTCATCCCCAGTATTAAGGACCACTAATAGAAATATTTTGGGACTACTAGTGAGAAATTAAACAATGGAAATATTTTTATTTTTGTCCGTTGGATGCCTTTTTTAACTAGTTTTAACTGTAAAAATGAGCTAAAAATTTCTATTAGTATTTGTACAGGGATTGCCAATAACTTGCCAGAGTGGGAATTGTACTTAGTAGTTCTAATACAGTACGTACAAGTACGTAATATTACAAGTAATACTGTTCTATGACAAAGTACGTACGGTACGGTAGAAGCAATTACTTCCTCTGGTTTCCTACGAGTGTTGTTGTGACCCTATTTTGCTGGTCCCCAACAAAGAGTGTCATTGCCATGATTGGGCCTGGTATGTAGGATTGTGTACATTTAGTACCAGCACATTTTTTCTCTTTGCATCGTCTCTCCAGCTAAAAAAATAAAGAATACACTTAAAAACTGTATATGCCCGAGTAGTTTTTTGCTCTATCTAATGACCCACTATGACCAGGCAGGAACTTTCTCACGAAGTACTACAATAAGAATGTATAGCTGCAACTCAAATGCTTGTGCCCAAACACTAAACAGTGTAGACACACATCTGTACTACTGTATTGGATCCGTGAAGTGCAAAAAGAACCATTCAAATCGCTCTCATTAAGCTTATTTCAGTAGAGTAGAAAAGGTGCAAAATGGACACTCATAGGGGACTTGAGGAGGAAGTACCTGTACATAGTTTTAGAGTAAAGTATGTACAAGACCCAAATAATTGTTTTGGGAAGGTTACAAGCGCACTACCACATTGGGTCATTCCCATAAAAATTGAAATATGTATTTTTTGACTGGCTCTTTTCATGTATGTTAAATACACAGATCTTGGTTGTAGTGAGCCCACGGCAACCAGGATCTATGTATCAAGACATACTTTTGTTGGAAACCTTGACTGAACATATTCAGTCTGGTCAGCAATCAGGAACCATGGTGGGAATCAATGCAACCAACAATGCAACAATGCCGTAATCTGCCATAGTGCTGTTATGCAAAGTCCTGGGACAGTTATACTATGTGGTCATGCAGATTTTTTTATCTGGCACAAAGACAAGAACACTATTAATGTATGTATCACAGACCCAAAAGTTAAAGTGCATTCTCTGAATGGCCCAATTGGTGGATTGCTTGATCCTATTCTTGAGGCCATCAGCTGCACCCCATACCTTCTTTCTACCAAGTGTCTCCTCATACTTTCTTTGAATTGCTGCCACATATGCCTCCACTTCTTCATCATGAGGGGCCTCTGATGATTGCATCTGGGTGATTTTGCAACACAAAAAGAAGGACTCGTCTGGTAAATTTCAAACATCTGTAGAGGGGAGTGGAGGTGACTCCAAACACCATAGACAAGGCCCTAGCTGCTGATCCACATATCCTACACCAAGTCAWGACCTAAGCAAGTCCAATAGTGGCAGTGACGTCGCCAAGGTCTGATTTTCTCAGTGTATCTGTCCACAGTGTATATGTTCACAGTGTATATATCAAACACTGGTTCAAAGAGGGAAAGGAGGTGCCTAAAGACACCATGGTTGACAGCACAGTAATTCAGAGGAGCCTGGTCATCACCAGAACAAAACAAATGGATGAAGGGGGATTCCTTGACACTCAACAAGAGTGCATATCCTTGGCATCCTTCTGTCTTGTTGACACCTGTCCTCACAGCTCTTGTTGTTAGAGGGAAACTGCAGATGCAATTAAAACCAACTCAGGGGACATTGTGGTGTTRTTTACTGTCAGGGAGGACACAATAGCCAAATAGTGAGGGTGGAGACTATTTTGGGAGACTGGTTTTAAGGCTACTATTTCAGAGAAATTGAGAGGAGGAGTGCAAGGAGGAGGAGATGCTTTTGATATTTTTTGGGCCATGGCTGGTTTTGTGAAAATCCCAATCATGTTGGTGCCACTGGAATCCTGTAATATTAGAACACAATTATACAGGATTTCAGATTCCAAAAATGGGGGGRAAATGTGTAATTTTGGCAAGCTTGCCATGCCTTTAGTCCTAGTACCACTGAAAACATCCCCAATGACATACCTGGATATATGTTTACAGGAATGACCCATTGAAGAATGTGGATTATTGTATTGTGACATACTAAAGTTTCTTGTGCCAAAATAATATTGAAAATGTTAATTTCAATTGGGCTTTAACACGTACCAGTTATATGAAGTAAAATACATAAAGTGTAAAATCCTCCCAGGGCCTACAGACCTCAATGATGTCATTCTACTCCAACAGATATTTCTCATATTATTGCTAAAACACCATTATCACCATGGTGAGACTGATAGCTTTGCAACTAGAGCCACTATGAACACAAGAAGGGTGCCCTTACAAGGCTCCCACTCTGCTCAATAAGGTCATTGAATAGTTTGTGTTGCATCTAATCTCTTTGAGCTACTACTGTATTATTTAATACTAGGGCATAATGGCCCAAATTTGTTAATTTTCAGCATTACCCATGGTGATGACTGTGTCTTTATAACCAAGTGTGGGATCTTTATGGGAATTGGACGAGTGGAAAAAGAAGTATTCAATTATTACACTCGTATGTAGGTTTTGCTTAAGGAGCTGTATTTGGTACCAAATAAATGTTCAAAACGGGGCATATAATTAGGAGGAACAACAACACACCATGGCAGCTTGCAAAACAACTGTAAGGAGAGCTCCCTGGTCAATTCTGAGTTGGCAAATCAAAAGGGCTCTATCAAAAGAAGGTATACAGAGCAAAAAACTACTATCAGGCGTCTTTAGGTTGAGAAGTTATGTGCAAGAGACTGGAAGGGAGGGGGCAAGAAATGATGCAATTGAAGTAACTACTGGCAACTCATCATTCACAGCCTTCACAATTGTTGCTGCAATTTTATTTTTTCCATCAGCAGCACCGTCCTTTGCATCCTGGTACAGTTTGGTAGCTTTGGTAGAAGATAACGATATATGTGTATGAACATAGGATGAATAATGTACCATTGGTTCAGCCGGAAAAACGTAGCCACACATATATGATACTGATGGTTTGTAGCTGCAAAATAGTTGTAAAAAATATGGCCCAACAATACAGGCTTGTAATTGGAGAGTATGATGGGTGGGTTTGTGATGCTGGTGGTACAACCACTGCTTTCAAGACATCAGCTAATTTGTTCAAATTGGGAAAAAACCACACATGTCGGACCCCAACAGAGCTTTGGTAGACACAACAAAACATAGACAATCTCCACCTCTAATGACACCAGAAAAAAAACAGGTCAATGCAACTGAAAGAAAGGAGTTTGAAGGAGTTAAATAAGAAGACAGG